TTTGTGGTGCTTTGTTAAGAGTAGCCTCAGGAAACTAATACAGGCACTGAATCTACAACTGTGTCTTGCTATGTTTTAAAACACCTGTGAATACATAAATTTGGCCACTGCCTGCACCCCATTATAAGGCTGTAACCTGTTCTTTGAGAAAAAGAAAAATAGGCAATTTCAAATGTTCTCCTCCTCAGATCAGTCAGAATTCCCCAGAAAAAAAAAGAGAGACTCAGTAGGTAGAGAACATTTATATTCAGAGCTTAGGTTGGAGGAAACTTAAGACAGGAGCTTGCACAGCTGAACACTACTGGAAAAAGCAAGCAGGAAACGTTTTCCTACAGAAACACAAAATATCTGACTGAGAGAAAGATGGCAGACAACTGGCAAAACGAAATAAAATTTCAGATCATGAAGAAGAGAATTTTTCCCTCCCGAAGATGGATATATGTTTTAAAAGAGATGAAAAGCCACCAGCAACAGTTAAAAGTAGTTAGGAAAGAGAAGTCTTTAGCAAAGTCACTCAATTTTATTAGATTATTGTTATGGGTGTATAGTCAAAGCCAATATTCATAAACACCTACTCACACATGTAAATGTTCAGTAAATTCTCAGTGAATGGATAGTGCCTATCTTACCAACCAATCAACAAAGCACACAGCATCAATGACTTAATCAAGACACTCTACTGCTACCTGGTGGTGACAACATGCACATATTTTAGAAGTAAAATAAGACCTCAGTGACTTGAATGCCAATGACAGACTCAATAGTGCTGGGACAAAGGTCAACCACGAGAAAAAGATCGTTCAGGAAAATGAGAATATATAGTGAGAAATACACAGGGAAGAAATAAAATTGCAATTTTCAAGAATGGTCCCATCATGAAAACATAACTTCTTGAAGAGCAGGAAAAAGAAATTTTTGTCTCCATGGGGGAGTGACTAAACTCCAGAATCTGAGCCACAATAGCCACCATATAGTCTACCATCTCACTGGGGTCTTCATGGCTAACTCGCTACGTGAGCATACAGTACTTTTCAACAGTCCATCCATGAAAAGCCCATGAAATAAGGTCTAGTCTATGAACCGCGTGAAGGGGTGCGTCAACACCCCTCAGTGGGCCCACGACTGAGCTACATTAGCACGGAGTGAACAGAGCTGGTCTTCACACCCTCATCCTCTCTCAGGTGGAACCAGTTCTCCCTTTGGTAGACCAGCTGCTCTTGGCAGATTGGAACAGAAAGAAATGCAAAGAAACACACAGCTCACATGCACTTTCAACCTCCCCTCAAAATACAGCCATTACTTGATTGTGCGATGGGTTGGGAAGACATAACTGGAAAAGACTTCCTAATCTTAGCAAAAACAGACTGGGCAAAACTATAATGCTCCAAGAAAAAAATAAAAAATAAAAACAACCGAGTAACCCGCGGAAGAGGGTATTTCCTAGAAACCCACATTCTTTGGACAGGCTTGTAAGTCAGGGAAAAACAACATCAGCGTTCTTCTTGCTTCATC